ATTGCCATGAGAACCTCAAATTTCGCTTTCTGAGAGAAAGAGATCATAACATTATCTGTATGTCATCTAAAGGTGTACATGGGAGATTGGATTTCATGTAAAGTAGTGGTTGATATTGCCCATTATCAAATGTAATTGGTTTCATATTTTTAACACTATCTACTTCAGTACATATCTTTGAATTTCAATGAGACTGGAGTTCTGACAGTAATGATTTTGGTCTTTTATGATGTGATGCTTTGTAAATTTGATTTGGTTCATCCAGGTCCGTCACACTAGCAATATTATAAAAGGTTAATGAACTCCATCCAGTGTGACTGATGAAATGTTTTTTTCTTTCTTTCCTTTTTAATCTTCCATCCTTGACATATTTTGGTCTTACAGGCCATCTTCAGAAGGATATATCAATACAAGCAGAAACTACTATTACAATGTGATTGGTCAAAATCAATACATACATTCAGTGTCATGAATATAACATTTGTTCCTTTAACAACTACAAATTGGTTCTAAGAATTTTAACAAAATCTTTTTTAAACCACACTTGTAAACAGATCAGTTGTAATAGTTTATAAATATTTTAATGTATTCATACATGTCAATGAACAGCATGCAGTAGAATTTTTTAAGTTATTTTCATAATTTAACGGTAACTGTACTTTAACATAAGGAACACCCTCCCGAAGTTTGGCACATTCCTCCTGGGACACCCTGTAGATATGTACCGGAAGGAAACTTTACATTTTTATGCAGTAAAATTCAGAATGCTAATGATGATTCTAGATTGAATTTTGTTAACTGGTCTTTATGGAAATTTCTGTTGGCATCTTTTCCTTGGTACTAATGAGTTGAACCGGGGGTATACAGACTACCCAATTTACTGTTATGTAGTATAATGGTTTTGACTGCCTATGTGGACTAGTGGTCCTGGCTACAGATCCAGAAGTCTTGGGTTCGAGTCCTGGCCGTTCCAGATTTTCTGAGAAGTAGTGGGTCTGGAACGGGGTCCATTCAACCTCATGAGGATAACTGAGGAGCTATTTCAAGGAAGTAGCAGCTCCAGTCTAGAAAACCGAGATTAACGTTCATGGGGATCGGTTGCGCTGACCACGTGACACCCTCTGTCCACAAAAGTTGGCACTAACTTTGCCGACAACCAGCAGTCGCTCAGTCAGTATAGTTCACTTATGGAATACAAGCCACAGAGTTTGTTTTTAGTATAATGGTTTTCCCTTCTGTGTTTCTGTCTCTTAGAATAACCTGGGTACTTGGAGCACTATTTTGTATTTTGAAAATAAATACAAATTTTAGTTTATGGATACTGCTAACTTCCTGCTGTCCACTTGGCATATGCAAGCAAATTTATGTTCTTGATTTTAAGCATACATGAAGAGACCATTTGTATTGAAGTATCTTTCTGATTTCCTGGTACATAAATTCTTTAAATTTGCTGTGTTGCATCCTGATCATGCTGTTTTAATATGTTAGGCATGGAAGTGGTCACTCCAGGTCTCTGCACTTCGCTGTGTTACCTGCATCAGTATTGAAATATGATTCCACTTATTTGTATGTGTGATATATTAACATGCTCTAATTTTATTGCAGGTACTAACTGGTTCCTTACAGTGCTGGATAGAAGTGGACAGAAATGGCATGCAACTCTTGATAGTAGCAGCATAATTTTGGCTTTTAGAACATGGTTTTTAAGATGTGGATAGTGTTCATTTTGTCTTGATTTGTTTTTATTAGGTATAAATCAAGACAACTTTGGCATGTTATTGTAGAGCCAGTATTGGTGTCTTAACAGTGCCTCTTTTCCCTTCATCCATTTTCTCTCCATAGACGAAAGTGAAATTGACAACAAATTCACTGAACATTAACTCTTTAGTTTCGCACCTGCAAACTTTGACATTAATTGAAGTAATTTTGACCTTGGGGCCATTTGAGTACATTATTAGTATATACACAGACCTGCGGGCCCCTTATTCGTTGAAAGCTCTGCATACCTCTTACTGATTCCAGAATTGGAAAAGCTTAAGGAAGTCACTGGAAGGAAACTCAGTTGATAAAACAATGCATTTTATAAAGGTACAGACATAATATTATGTTGTAGGCAAACAGTATTATTTTGATGCAGTACCCACATGTATTCAGATTTTGAGGGGAAACATTGCAGTCTCTCAAACTCTGTATAATCTTTCCGGAACTTGGTCACGGAAGGCAAACTTTTTTTTTTAATGCAAACTTCTTCAGCCTTTTTGAAGCAGCTACCAGTAGGGATAGTGTGATGCTTGATAGCCTGGTGTTTGTGAGAAAATTGTGCAAAGTACACTTCATGTTCTAAATATAACTGTTCATAAAGAAACACTGTAGTCTGGAAGTAAACCAACCTTTTGGAGGAACATGTCGCCTCCATCTTCAGGGTTGAAGACTAAACCAAGCAAGAAACCAGCATGAAAGAGGCAGCAAGTAGACCCATGCTGATTTCTTGCTTGGTTTACTTTTCAACCCTGAAGATGGAGGTAGTATATTCCTCTGAAATGTTATTTGATTTCGCTACACTGCCCAGTGTTACGTCCCAGAAGAAAGAAATCTTTGCAGCCTCTGCTGTGAGATCCTCAAATCCAACGTACTATATATAATTTAACAATAAAAAAGAGATGCAAACAAATGCATTGGTCACAGTTGATACTGTGCAATATTCACCAATTACAACTGCGAATTCATTTGTATGCATCCATAGTATGCCACGTAGTCATAGTTCTGGTATTTTCTGTGTATCCACTTTGGGAGAATCACAGTGAAAAGAAATAAAATATGGAAAAAGGGATTTATGAAGGACCCACAAAAACGCCGTCATGATTGTGGCAGATGGAGAACCTGGGTGTGTTGATTGCTGTAGATTGTGCCTAAACTTTTCCATCTTAAAGTCGTAATGAAAAGTTTTCTTTTTGTGACTGTTTTGTCACTGATCATTCACTGGCATGAGGAGAACAGTACATTAACAGTATGTGTCAAATGTAGGACTCCTTTTTGAATAGCCAAGATAATCCTTGCCTTTTATGAATTGGCCTTTGGTCAGACCTTAGTAATTGATGTGGTGCATTCAAACCTAATAAAGAGAAGAGTTGTGATTAAGCAAGTTGTACTCTGCTCTAACTATTGAAAGGTGTAGTTTAGGCATGTTTATAAATGTCTTGATTTACATCTGCACCTTACTTATTGCATTTAAGGGTTCTTTATGTTGAGTTTATTGGTTTTATAAAAATATTGCTTTATGTGATATATGTTTTCCCTGTTAGATTGGTTTGTAGATTAATGAACAGTGCTTAATTAGCTGCAATTTTCATTGAATGAGAGGAGAACAGGAAATGGTGGTCTGGTGTTCATCTGCAGATTCACAGGAGTGGCATTTCTGCAGCTGATATTCAACCTGGGTACCTCCAGAATAAATGTGGGGTGTGTTACTGCTCTGCTTGTGTGTTTGATTTTTGCCGTTTATTTTTCTTTTTAATGTGGTTTCATTGATCCAGTTCAGATTTGTTGAAATGTACAGTGTGTTTAAATGGAATGTGGTGAATATTTTTTGACACATATTGTTAAAAAATGTGAAGTCATAATTAATTTCTCTTAGAGTGTGTCTTATAAGTTGTTGATCTTCTCTCGCATGGTGGCTGTCCTTGCTTCAATGCCTTTCATCTCTGCTTGGATAGCTCTTCTTTCTGCGGCCGTCTCTTCTCACCAGGCTTTCGAGTTGGCGTCTAATGTTGCCATGAAATCTTCTTGGGCGGCCAGCAGGCGTTCCTTCAGTTTTCATCATGTGGCCGTGTAACACTCCTAACTTGTGGCATGTTCAAGTTCGTAAAGCAATTCTGACACCAAATTGTCACACGGCAGGTAACGTGACAAATAACTTCACACCCTATTCGATATAACGAATTTATTGCACATTCGCTCTTACAATCTCACAATTACTGCCATCGGCAGTATCACAAATGCCAGACTGCAATTAACTGGTTACTCTTTCTCTAGTAACTGGCTCAATACTCACTACTCACTGAATAGCGTTCGCTACTCCTTATTTAGGCTAGACACGGATAACATAGAAAAGAGTTACGTGATAGGCACCACCATTATGTAACATCGTGTTTACCGATTGCCTAGCAACAGTTGTTGCATGGACTCCCCGCAGTGTTTACAAAGGCATTGCTGGGCAACGCTGCCGAGAGTTGTTTCTTGCTGCATAGCAACCGTGGTGTCCCCTGTTACGTCACCACAAGGGAAGGGACGGCATGTTTACCGAGCGTTGCGCCATCACGTCAGAATATTCTCTGTTCCAAATTTTGTGGCGTTAGAGGAATGTAATAGGATCAGTTTCTTAATAGGAATCATGATGGTTTTTTTTTTTTGCTAGTGAGGTGGGACTACATCCCTTGTACTGTGGCCACTTCTGGCCTATTGTACCAGCCCCAGATGATAGGTGAGGGTGTTAGTGGACCAACTGGTGGAATGAAGATTGGCAGGGGAAACCGAAGTACTCGGAGAAAACCTGCCACTTTGTCCACCACAAATCCCACTTGACCAGACCCGGAATCGAACCCGGGCCGCCGCGGTGGGAAGCCAGCAACTAACCACTTGAGCTATGTCGTGGTCTCATCATGATGTATTCTTAAATGTTAAAAGGCCTCTAGTTAAAATCCAAACAGTTTAAAGTTGGAAGCATCATGTTGCAGAGTTTGTATTTATCCCCAGTGACTTGTCCTATAAAATTTCAGTATACGTTACTTTATAGTGAATGTAAGCAGACCTCAAAAATAATATTTATTAATTTAAGATTTAAAACTCAGTGTCTTCAAAAAAGCTACTAGCATAGTTGACACATACTTTTTATAGTAAACAAAACAATCATTGAAGGTCATGGTTCACGTTATGTCCCACCCCTCATACATTGATTGATTGATTGATTCATTCATTCATGCTCTTTATATTAATTTTGGCCCCAAAACAAAATAATTGTCTTGCAGTAGAATTCTGTATTGTGAAATACAGTACTGTTCCATTATGTAATAGGGTAGCTACATCATCTCATGTCTTGTCTTTTCACCAGCCAGAGAAGCAAATGTACGTCTCTGTTTTTCTTCTGTGGTTACTTAACCCTTTGACCAAAATAATGTGTGTCTTTTATATTATCATGTAACTGACTGTTGGTTGGGCTAGAAACTCCTCATGCCTGATATATCACACACCTAAAGCTTATAGCAATATCTTCTGACACATTTTGACTTCATTTTAAAAGTTGTACTTTGTTCACATAAGAGGCCGCACCATAGCTCAAGCTTCCCACCATGGCGGCCCGGATTCAAACCCAGGTCTGGTCAAGTGGGATTTGTGGTGGACAAAGTGGCGCTGGGGTAGGTTTTCTCCTAGTACTTCGGTTTCCCCTGCCAATCTTCATTCCATCAAATTCTCCATCATCATAACCACCCAGGGCAGGTACAATAAGCCAATCAGTGGCTGCCATGCCAAGTGGACCCAACTGGACTCCACCCCCCACTAGTGAATTAAAAAAAATTGTTCACCTAAGGAAATGGCTATAAGGAGAAAGTAATAGTTCAAAATGAACTGACATCCACATTAAAAAAATACTATATGTATATTGCTTGCCACGGTAACATTTTACCCAGCCATTGCGTAACAATGGTAGGGGATGTTCACATATAGACACGGACTGATGGGAGCGATTTATGAAGTATGCCATTCAGATGAGCTCAGATGTCATGCTATACATACCAAGTTTCAAAAAGATTAGTTCAGCCATTATAAAGATGGGGAGGGACATACACACACACTGACAGCATGGAGATTGCATAAGACAATTTTCCTTTTTTCAAAATAAGGAGAGTAGGGTAAAAAATCCAATAGATTGCTTTGTTGAGTGAAATATCAATTACAAAATATATGAATTCAGACATGAAAAGATTGCTATCTTTATTTTGAGTAAAATACACATAATCCATCCTTCTTGAGTATTCTTATGCAAAAAAAAAAAAGATCACCTATTATTAGGTTGTTAGAGGTGGGTAACATGTTCCTTATCTGTATCACTATCATCAATCACTTTTCAGTGCATGATTAAGGAACATTATCTCAGTTTTTTTTCTTTTTTGAAATCAGTAAATAGAAGTCTCATTGGATGTGGGTGAGTAACGATGGGTTGTGACTAAATTCTGTTCCACTTGCCCTATAATTCCACTGCTACTTGCAGCCCAGCTAGGGAGGCTGTAATATGTACAAAACAGAATAAAATCTCATTATCTCAAGTTTCATCTGAATAATGGACATTTCACCCACCCCCCCCTCCCCCATGCATGATACCACCTGATAAATGTATCTAATATTTCCTGACATGGCATATTTCTAATTTTATCAAATATGAAGTTTGGGATCTTAACAAGTTTGAACATAGTAATTCTCTTGAAGTCATAATCAATATTAACATAAACCAGAGCTTTGTCAGTTTTTGAAAATTAATTATTGAAATGAATGGAAAGCTGTACTCGGAATACACATACTATCCAAATGCATTGTTTGCCCTATGAAATTTGCAATTGCTTGGCTACCATTTGGTGCACAGTCTTTTATTTCATTGTCCCCTATTTAAAGCATTAAAGCTAAAAATATAAAAAAATTATTATTTTATTTGTTATATGAACAT